CTTCGGCCTATTCCTTTTTTGGTAAACTGTGGGTTTGTCTATTGTTCTTTTCTTTTTTTCTTTTGTTGTTTCTTGTGTTTAATGTGGACAGTTTACCAAAATAAAGTGATTGATTGATTGATTGATTGATTGATTGATTGATTGATTGATTGATTGATTGATTGATTGATTGATTGATTGATTGATAAAAGCCTCGTACCACCGGGTTACATTCCCCCACTACGTGGATCTGGTGGGCTTCTAGTTCCACCGGCTGCTTTGGGTGGGGACTTTTCTTCAGAGTCCCCGTGACTTCGATGGCACTGCCAAAGGTAAGCAACCTAGATTTAAGAGGTTAAAGAACAGCCTTTAGTAGAAGAAGAGAGCATCAGGGATTACACCCACTTTAAACCAAACAGACTAAATGATACAGTGGGGGAAATAAGTATTTCACCCCTTGCTGATTTTGCAGGTTTGCCCACTTACAAAGAATGCTTATTTTTCCTCATCAGATGGTTATCAATTTTTATAAATTCATATGATGTGATTTTCTGCAATTTTCTTTGGGATTCTGTCTTTCACTGTTAGAATGTACATATGATTAAAGTTATAGATCGTTGCATTCTTTGTAAGTGGGCAAACCTGCAAAATCAGCAAGGGCTCAAATACTTATTTCCCCCACTGTAGCGTGGAGTAAAACTCTGCAGCTTACGGGTCGTTCAGCTGTGGTCCGGCCACCACCTGCAGGTTCTGCAGGGAGCTGCCGTCGTTCACATGCAGGAAAACGTGAGTTTTCTGGGGTCTAACCGACCTGACCCACCCCTGAAGGAAAAGTCACTCATTTATTGATCAAAATAACACATGCCTGGTCTTTCTGGATACATTACACACATATTAGTGACACTTTTGGGACCAGAATGTGGGTGACACCAGGATGTGACCCTGTATTCTGAATATTAGGTTAGAAATTGATGTTTAGCTGATATATTTTTAAAGTACCAGGACAGCAACATTTCAATGCAGCATCATATTGGATTGCATTAATATGAAATGTGTGTATAAATGTTATTTTTAGCACATATGCATTTACAGCTGGGTGTAATCCAGACACACGGGTCTGGGTTAGGTAGATTTAAGGTTTTCATTAAAAGATACTACTGAAAGGAAAATACAGGTATCAAAATAATGTCAGGGCAAACTTTAACAAAGAAATAACCATTATTAAGGTAGTCGAGTCACAATTGGCTTCAAATACAGAAAGGCTTCACTCACAAATGAACGAACGAGGAAATATGAGAAGTAAGAAGGTAAAGTTACCTTGACTTTGACATTTTCTCCCAGCTCAGACCCCGAAAGGGCTTCGGATACTCTCAGTTTCGTTGCTGTCTTCTTACAATAATGTCGAGTAGCAAGCAAAACAGCCCGCGAAACTGGTACAAACGATGCAAAATGGAGGGAATTAGCCACGGCTAGAAGCATGGTGACAAAATACCTCTAAAACCACAACATGCCAACAAAGCTTTAACACGATAATAGCAACATATTTCATAGAAATGCAAGATTTTGCCTCCACTTGACTTTCAATTCACGTTGTGACAGCTGATACAGTTACTTCCTGTTGAGGTCTTCCGCCATTCGTTCGTTACAGTCACGTGTTTTTCAATAAACCAATCAAATCTCCGTCTCTTTCAGCAGTGTTTTCCCATGCTGTAGGTAGCTGTAGTTTTATTAAGAAGTGTCAAGTGGTGTTGTAATATAAGGAAAATGTGTTAAATGATATTTAATATAACCATATATGATTTATAAAAGCATTATTTGAACATAAAAGTCGAGGCAAGGGGGAAAAAACTTTAAAACTCCAGAAATTCCTCTCTAAACTGGTTTGAATATAGCATTATAACTTCATTGTTATAAAAATCTTTCCTTCAGATGCATTGAAAATATTATTTAATTTATTTTTTAAGGTCCTCTGTTCAGGTCGCGTACAGAGTTAAATAAGGGGTATGTTTTTTTCAGTTTAGCACATAAGATTATATTCTAAAATAAAATAAGAGTAATTACCGGCCACATGGAAATTCCTCCTATCCTTGTATAATGGCCCTGCCCTCAGTATGGGTTCATCTGTGCGTAAACCTCGTTAATTCAATACCCTCCACGACTCTGGGTCCGTCCCCACCATTTGCTGCGGGAGTAAATCAGTTCATGGCAGCAATATAATAAGATGCCACAGACTATTACTCACCTGGTCCCGCCTGTCAGCTCCAGAGCCTCGAGCTGGGCCCTGCCAGCACACACCGCTGTCCACCTCCGGTCGCTTATCACATGCCATCATTAAACCCAACAAGATGCATTTGAAACGTCCGCGGGGTCATTTATATTAATTATCTCCAACATGGACGAGGCCATTAGTCATGTGGTCTACTGTTAAGAGGAGAACATTTGCATCCTTTGCTCTACATTTGCTGGAAATGGCAAACTAACAATATATTTGACTGCTTAAAATCATTAGAAATCATAGGTTGATTGAAATGTGTTGTAATTAACCTCAATAGGACAGGCCAAACCTCTCCCTCTATGTCTGATATAATATTTGTGTAATACCTTACTCCGCCACCAGGGGCTGCTGTAGCTCTATGACATTTTCCATCCTATCGAAAAATCCACGCCTACTCCAGATTTATGCACCTAACCTCGAGTTGGCTGCAGTGTAGTATTCATTTACGTCTCCAAGGTCTTCTAAAAATGAAAACAAACCGGCTTTGCTCTGTTTCTGTCTCTGCAGTTACATTAAACATAATCCACCTGCTGGTTTTGGTCTGATGGTCCAAAGCAACAGTCAGATTTTTTAGATTGAACCCAAACATGAAAAAACAAACAGCTTGGAGAGTAACCTTTTTGACACCCTCATGATAATCTATCAAAGGCAGAGGTGGACTCGGCCTGATGTGAGCTTCCACAGGTAGAGGAGTTGTTTGGCACTGGCCTGACAACCTTATTTGGACTTAACAACTTGTTCGGATCAATAGAAGATTAGTCAGCAAAACAAAGGATTTGGCTGGAAAAGCTGGGATCTCAGGGGGATCAGTGAACCCGGGCATCCTCTGACTGCCCCCC